CGTACATTAGATCCGTTCTATTGAAATCGTCCTTACCTAAGCTGATCATCATAAGGTTTCTGAATTTCAACGTCTCGTCAAATTTATCATAATAAAGTTTTTCGTACAACCTTATGTGGTTGTTCGTCAGCAGTGTGTTGGCTTCTTTATCAATACGGGCCAACATTTTTTTCAACGCAACAATAGTAAGACTCGGGTATGACTTGACTATACTGTCGTAGTTGTCGAATAAATTATTTTTAGGGCACTCGGTCGTGTCTGTGCGCAGTTTTTCAATTATATATTGAGTAGTGGCCAATAGTTTCTGGTAAGCTGCGGCCGTGTTTTTTGTAGTCTCATTGAAACAAGTTATCAAGCTCGTGTAAAAATTGATCAGCCACAAGGCGCCTATACGCTTTATGTTGATGCTGCGCAACGATGCTATCTGGTATTTTATATTTCGGTTATAATAACTCAAGTCACCGATTGACGGATTTGTTAGCGTTTTATAATGTTCGTAGACTAAAAGCTGGCTTACCCGCATGTGCGTCAGTCCACTAAGCAAGTATGTACATCTCAAATCTTCATATAGTCTATCGATTCCGATAATAACGTCGCTGGGGTACTGATAACCGGTTTCCAATAACTGCGCTGTTTGGCCAAAGAACAGCAGCGAACAAAAAACAATTGTCTTGAGTATTGTGGAGTGCGCCATAGTCACGTTTACTTGATGCTCTTTGAGGTAATGTATTGTTCCAATTGAAGAAATATATTATGTATTAACTAATCCGTAATTTGGGTTTTGTAACCGTATTATTATTGCTGTTTAATAATTCTCAATTTTCTAAGACTTGGTTAAAACGTGTCACGTACACCAACTTGGTATTTAATATGCCATAGCGATTGAACAGTTTTGATGTATTGTTTTTATCGAAATAACGTGTCCGTGTCTCGTCAGTTTACAGAAAAACAACACTGCTTATTAGTTCAGACCATATTTTTTTTATTTTGAAGTTTCAAACAAACTGATGTTATAAGACATTTTTTTTTATGTAGTTGTTTTTTTCTTCATATAACTTGTAACAATTTTCAGTTCGTAGCACAGTATTATATCGTTTTATTATTTCATGCAAAATATTCATTGCAAAAAAACCAAAGTACACATTGCTTACGATTTCAGGTCAACAGAAAAGCTCGTTGGTGTTAAACTTAAAATTATCAATATTCAATACATAATAATATTCGACGAATAAAATAATGCCACAGTAATAAAATAGTATAATGTTTCTGTTTTCTGTCAAACACAATGGATAGGCTATTGAAAATAAAGTAGTTGATTTGTTGACCATAATTTTAAACTTATTCAAAGCCGGCATTAGAATCGGATTTGTGTGGTAATATTACCTAAAGATGATATTGAATATACCTACTAAATTTGGCCTACCATATTGATATGGTTATAAAAAAGAAACAATAGTATAATACCTAGTAAAAAAAGTCTTCTAGTAAGTTAATACGATTTTATTTGGTTTTTTCATTTTAGCATAAAGTATGTAAAATAATACAGACTGATTGAATGTCATCTTAACTACACGTTTGGAATTATTATAATGGCCGGTTAAAGTATTTTCCTTTATTATACAGGGTGATTCATTTTGGGTAAGACACTCATTTTCTCAGAAAATATTAATATTTTCAACAAAGTTTTTCCCCAAGATTTTTGGGTACACATTGCATTACATATTCAATATTTTGAAAATTTTTATCACCATGCCTTATAGCCAAACAGGGGTATTTTTGGTTTTTTGAAACGGCAATATATGTTTTTCATTACATAAATTTGTAGACAAAAAATAATAATAATTTGAATTTTGAATTTTCATTTATTTGTTCATTTATTATGACTTTTTAAAGATTTGATTTTTTGTCTATATTTCCTAATATTTTCAATCGTTACTGCAAAGACGAGTAGTTTTATTACATCGCACAAAAGTAATTTGACTTGTTAACGTCACGCTGTGACATTATTATGTGTTTGAAAATCGAAAGGTACGCTATGTCCTATGACGGACTTTAGACTTAAGCTGGGGTCCAGTATCTACTATTTATGATTATAGTTATCACAATCTAGTGCCCACCACGATATACAAAAATCGCATAACATTTAAACATAACCTCTTACAAGTTATAACTAACAAATTTTGACTTTTCACATTTTCAGTTTTCACTATTAGTGAAATAAGAAATTATAAATTTAATTTTAAAAAAAGCCAGTACAGTGGGGTCGGGGCATAGTGGGGACGGAGAGGTCACAGGTCTACAGATTTTATTATAACTGAAGGTGATGAATCACTTTTAAATAAACGCTTCGATGCGAATCTGTGGATAGTATGTTCAAACCAGTTATAGCGGTTTAGAAAATGCTGATCGTGGGACCAGCAAAAATGTACTTAAAATTGAATATTTAGTCTTGTGCAGCGTGGATACGATAAGGGTTGATATTCTGTCTACAAAAATGTACTGTCATAGTTACCCATTTATCATAATTAACAATATAATGAAAAAAATTCATTACCTGTTGACTGTTGATTCACACACACACACAGATCTAAATCTCTAAAACTTTGCTTGAAAAAGTGAAATAAATAAAAATATTTTATCCCTTCTAAGGGAAAGGGTTTATGATATTTTTTTGTTTTGTTAATGTTTATCGATAGTACTTATTGTTTGAAGAACAATTCATAAAAATTTGGAACATTTTCGACTATTTTTTAAAAAGTTATAGAGCATCGTAATTTTAAGTTGAAAAATTTGTAATTTTTTTAGGTGTTTTTCTCGATTTTTGATGGGGAAGGGGTGACTTTTTTTAATTTTTGGCCTCATAAGCTACTTTTCAGTATGTTTTCCAGTATGAATTGCCAATTGGATCCATTCTTACAATTATATATCAAGGTGTAATTTATAAATATAAAGCATTTATTCTAATGTGACAATATTCATGCGAGTGACGTGTAATATCAATTTTAATGAAAGTGTGTTATTTTGTTGATTAACTTTAATAATTATTGATACCAGATTTGTGTATGTAAGTTAATATTAATCAATACATCTATTTAAATTGTTTTTGAAAATATGAGTAATTATATGAATTCAGTAAATCAAGTAAATACTTTTTTTGAACTGTTAAAAATCACTATTATAGAGGTTGAAAATTTTGTAGTTTATTATAATTATTATTGTATTGGTTTCATATTTTTGATTTAATATTTTCAAAATAGTATCATTTGTAATTTTTTAATTTATTATTAAATAATAGTTACTTCATTAATATTTTATTAGTAAAATACTTCTATCGTCAGTCAAAAGGGTAGTATTGTACTAATAATAATGTTATTTTATACTATTTATTCGTAGTTGAAATTTTTATGAATACAATTATTTTACTATGTGTTATCAATTTTTAAATGTTGTAAAGTACACACGTCAAATATTAATGAAAGCTGTTTTTTACTCTCTTTGAATGTAGGGAAGTTGTCGCTACGCCTTACAGCAAATATTCATTTAAGCCATCAATGTATAATTTTCATCCTTAAATTTAAACAACTTACTTTTTTTTAACAACATTATAAGTAAGTCTAATTTATTGATCTTAAATATTTGTATTTATATTTAAATATAATAATATAATGTACATATATATTGTATTACATAATACATTATATGTATGTGTATAAAATCATACAAACTTGTCACTTGAAAATTCTGTAAAATAAAAATCTCCAAAAATCATTTTTTATTTCAATACAATTGTCAAATTTAGATACTAACTTGAGCAATTTTAAGCAATATCTATTTTTTGTTCAATACTGCTACATTTAAATAAACTTAGTAAAACATACCCGTTAAAATAGTCTAATAGTATGGTCAATTTTTTATCGTTAAACAAGGAAATATTGAACAATGTTTTTCTTCTATATAGATTAGTCTTATTATTTTAGAATCTATTATGCATTGAATTTCAAGATATTAAATATAAGATAATTAGTGAAGAAAATTATAAAAATAAATATAAGAAAATGCTGATTATGAAATAATTCATAATTCTTAATCAACTTCCTGATTAAAAATTTTTGAATTTAACATATTTTATTTTAAAGTCCTGATAAACACTCTTATTAACACATAATATAAGTTATACGTTATAAAAATAGTGAGTAAGTACTAATAAAAAGTTTAGAAGTATAAAAATTATTAAATTTAATAGTTATTAATAAAATAAAACATTCATGGTCTGATCTTTTAATGTTAGCGTGACACAAACTCTCATTTTATTTCCCAGAACAAAACGCAAGTGAGTTATGTTATCAATGTGTGATGAAGTGTAACTGATTCACAAATTATTTGTCCATATTTTTATGAACTGACTCTTAATGGTAAGAAATAACTATTTAAAAAAATAAAATGTCAACGTTTTTGAAAAATTTACAGTTACACAAACATCATTTATCGGAAAACAGAAAACAACGTAAAGTTCTACGAATCACCATCGGAACTACCGACTTAAATTAAGTTGATAATAACTAAACGTTTTGGTATTCATAGTAACTAACAAGATTACCAAACTAAACTGCGATTAATTTTTTTTGGAGATTCTTTATAACGCAGTTCACAAATATCTAAAGTTTTTAGGCAACATTTAAAAAAAAAAATTAAACAAATTAAATCAAAAATTCTATATTTTGTGTAAATTATTTGGGCACAAATCTACATTTTTTGATGATATATTAAATATATTTAACATAACTAAAAAATAATAGCGACACGTCACGACGGTTGTGCACACAAATGTATGCACTTATGCGATTGTGAACGACCGTTTTAGAATTATTATTTACATTTTACTTTATAAAGTATTTAGTATCTACAATAATTTTTATAATAACATATAAATCTATACTGTATTGTTAGTTGTTACTTGTTGAACGTAAGAGTATTGACAGTAGGAAAAAAATTAAAACTAGTTAGAGATTAGTGACCATACTGCTGTAATACCTGTTAACGACAAAAATGATGTACTATCACAAAAGCAGTTATTTTTTTGGTTACGTCTTGTACCACAATCATTAATTATTAGCACACATTATTACAGCTCTGTGATAAAATTATAAAAAAAAACCGTCCTAAACATTAAACATTAACTTTTAACTTTAAGAATAATTATTCAAAATTTGTCAACATTTTCACAATTATTCTTACTCAAAAAAGCCAATAATATATTTACGTTACCGTTTAGGGTCAATCTACAAAAATCCAGTATAGCTTAACACAGCGTAGTCCCAACCAAGTACAGTTCAAACCAAGTATAGTGTAAGTCAGTAAGAAAAAATGATCAAAGATGGTCATATTAGTTATTAAATCTGAACTTGATTTTCTAACTTTAAACTTTTATAACTTTAAAAATAAATGTTTATAACTGGTTATCAATAATTAGTTTGGGAGGCACGTAGGACCATAAAAAAGGTGTGCAAAATTTAGATCACACATACAGATTTTATTTTAAAAGCTGGAAAATAGTCTGAAGATAGGTCTATCATAATATACCTCTAACATGTGTAAAATTTTATGCAATGATACCTGAGCTAATCATTGATACTAGAAAACAAGTTTAAATTTAAAAATTATTATTTATTTTATAGAAATTATGATACAGATTATATTAACAATGTTATTGTAGTATGTAGTATGATAATTGCAAATTTTTGTTAATATACTCAAAAGTAAATAAACTCTTATAGTTATAAATGCAAATTTTCTAACCTCTTCATATCGTTTTCAAATGTGATTTCATCGATGTATTCCATGAGTAACTGAATGTAGTCGAAGTCGACGTTTTGAAACAACCGACTGAGATGACACAAGAATATTCTGGTGTTTTCCAAACTGTTGTACTCGATCGGCGCACGGCTAGTGGTACTTTTCATGAGTTCCACGTCATCCATAATCCCACATACATAAGGTATTTGAAATTCTTTATTTTCCAAAATATGGAACGGTTCGGTGGGCTTGCAGCCTAAATACGTGCACAGTGATACCAGCATTGCAAACACACAGCTAATGACACTGTCTATTTTCTGCGTTCCTTTGTAGAGATTATGGACGGCCGTGAGCAAGCTCTCTACATGTTGCTCTTTGGTCAAGTGTAACATGCAAGCAAATTTCTCCACCAAGTCGTACCATTGGTGCGCGTACTGTACGTATTTGTCTGATCCGACATCGTAAACTTGCAAGTATGTCATGTGTTTCAACGTCAGCTGGATCATAATGATCTTTAGAAATGCAAAGTTCATCGTGTAGTATGATTTGATATGTTCAAGGTGGTCGTTAAACCAATCCAGTGTGCGCGCAGCAAACCAAGACTTTTCCAATCGTTCGCTTATGTCGGACCAGTCCACGTGCACGTTGTAAACGTACATTAGATCTTTTTTAAAAATATCGAACTTACCTGAGCTGTTCATCATAAGGTTTCTGACTTTCAACGTCTCGTCAAATTTATCATAATACAGCTTTTCGTAGAACACTATGTGGTTGTTCGTCAGCAGTGTGTTGGCTTCTTTATCGATACGGCCCAACATTTTTTTCAACGCAACAATAGTAAGACTCGGGTATGACTTGATTATACTGTCGTAGTTGTCGAATAAATTATTTTTAGGGCACTCGGTCGTGTCTGTGCGCAGTTTTTCAATTATATATTGAGTAGTGGCCAATAGTTTCTGGTAAGCTGCGGCCGTGTTTTTTGTAGTCTCATTGAAACAAGTAATCAAGCTCGTGTAAAAATTGATCAGCCACAAGGCGCCTATACGCTTTATGTTGATGCTGCGCAACGATGCTATCTGGTATTTTATATTTCGGCTATAATAACTCAAGTCACCGATTGACGGATTTGTTAGCGTTTTATAATGTTCGTAGACTAAAAGCTGGCTTACCCGCATGTGCGTCAATCCACTAAGCAAGTACGTACATCTCAAATCTTCATATAGTCTATCGATTCCGATAATAACGTCGCTGGGGTACTGATAACCGGTTTCCAATAACTGCGCTGTTTGGCCAAAGAACAGTAGCGAACAAAAAACAATTGTCTTGAGTATTGTGGAGTGCGCCATAGTCACGTTTACTTGATGCTCTTTGAGGTAATGTATTGTTGCAATTGAAGAAATATATTATGTATTAACTAATCCGTAATTTGGGTTTTTTAATCGTATTAATGTCGGTGTTTATAGTCTAAGACTTGGGCAAAAAGTGTCACGTACACCAACTTGTTAATTAATATACTAAAGCGTTTGAACAGTTTTGATGTATTGTTTTTATCGAAATAACATCTCGTCAGTTTACAGAAATACAATACTGCTTATTTGTTCAGACCATATTTTTTTTATATTAACGTTATAAGACTTTTTATTTGATGAAGTTGTTTTTTTCTTTATAGAACATGTATTAATTTTTAATACGTAGTTTAGTATCATATCGTTTTATTATTTCATGCAAAATAGTCATAGCCAAAGACCATACGATTTCAGGTCAACAGAAAAGCTCGTTGGTGTTAAACAAATCGGTCTTTGTCGGAAAAAAGTTATCGTGAATACAGGCACACAAATAAATATCATACACCGTTGATAAGCCATCATATTCTCAGTAGCACTACAAAGATTGTATGATTAAGAATATAGAAGCCAATATTAATAACTATATAGTTCAAACTCAAAGTTCAAACTTCTCGAAAATTGCCTATACTTTACTCCTTAGAAATATCTGGGTAGCGTTACGTTAATTGCCAATAAGATATTGAGTGGATCACTCTAAAACGAGTACCCTGTAAAATCACACGAATGTGAAAACATTATGTCACGTCGTAAAATTGTATAATATTTCTGTTTATACTATTTAGGATTAAAATAATTTAACTATGAAAAATATAAATTATGCCAATTCATGGTGTTCATGACTGTTTTCACGTAACAGTACTTTTTCATAGTTAATTATTAAGAAATATTAAATTTCATTAGAAACAATAACAATAAAATACATACTTAATTTCGAAACGACAAACTGTAATAGCATCGGTTAATTCAATAAATGATTTTTGACTGCAGAGGTCACAACCTCAAACACAATGGATAGGCTATTGAAAATAAAGTAGTTGATTTGTTGACCATAATTTTAAACTTATTCAAAGCCGGCATTAGAATCGGATTTGTGTGGTAATATTACCTAAAGATGATATTGAATGTACCTACTAAATTTGGCCTACCATATTGATATGGTTATAAAAAAGAAACAATAGTATCATACCTAGTAAAAAAAAGTCTTCTAGTAAGTTAATACGATTTTATTTGTTTTTTTAATTTTAGCATAAAGTATGTAAAATAATACAGACTGATTGAATGTCATTTAAACTACATGTTTGCAATTATTACAATGGCCAGTTTATGTATTTTCCTTTGTATACAATAATTATAATGCTAGTAGTTTGTCTAAAAAAAGAAAAATCAACAATATTTCATTATATTTTGTAGTAGTAGGTATGAATTATTCAAATGTTTTGCAATATTTTAAACAACCATGTTGTGCTATAATGATGCGCATTCCCAACGGTCGGTTGTGGAGAAATAAAAATTATCCTTAGTAATTTTTACAATAAAATGCGGTTAAAATGTAAAACAGTAAGGTCGGTTTAGTTACAACACAGCACACATTATTACAGCTCTGTGATAAAATTACAAACCGTTTTAACCAAATATTAAAAACCGTATCTGTTCAATCTGTAAATCTGTAAAAATACCGAGTGATTCTTTTAACTCTATACACTAGTTTACTGTTATAATAATTGCAATTTTGTTGTTTTTCTTTTTGAAAACATTTTTAGTTATGTTTTTTAATTACACTATTAGACAATATTAAAATTATTACCTTTATCTTTCTAATATTATGTTTTAATGTTGCATTAGAATATTTTAAAATTTAAATAGAAACGCCCATATTTAATTGTATTTTTGAATCAATAATAATTTCTAAACATTTTGATTGATCGATAACAAATTTTGTGTATTCACCTCCCGTCCTAAACATTAAACTTTAACTTTTAACTCAAGGAATAATTCAAATTTAAATATTCAAACTTTAAGAATAATTATTCAAAATTTGTCATCGACCAGTCAACATTTTCAACAAAGTTATTCTTACTTAAAATAGCAAATAAAATATTTACGTTTCCGTTTAGGATCAAAAGATGATATTAAAATAACTAATTTTGGAGTAGGTGAAAAACTTAGAAGTTTGTGAAATTGAGATCACTTTGTATAAAAACACTTTCTCAAATAAAATCAATCTACAAAAATCCAGTATAGCTTAACACAGCGTAGTCCCAACCAAGTACAGTTCAAACCAAGTATAGTGTAAATCAGTAAGAAAAAATGAGCAAAGATGGTCATATTAGTTATTAAATCTGAACTTGATTTTCTAACTTTTAAATTTTATAACTTTAAATAAATGTTCATAACTGGTTATCAATAATTAGTTTGGGAGGCACGTAGGACCATACAAAAGGTGTGCAAAATTTAGATCACACATACAGATTTTAATTTAAAAGCTGGAAAATAGTCTGAAGGAATTTTCTAAATGAGTTCAAATCCTTAATAAGCCCCCTTATCTCCCTACTCACCAAAGTCATCGACTCCCTACTAAACAAATGACTTCTATCCAACCAAACAAATCACCTCTCTCAATCCTCTTTTGGAATGCAAATGGAATTCAAAACCATTACCACGATTTATCCCTTTGTCTATACACCAGAAACATCGACATTGCACTTATCACTAATAAATTAAAAAAAGAATTTTACAAAATAAACACGGAACGTTACGAAAATAATATCTCCAAACTTCAAACATATAACTGCTCTCTTTGGCGTAAAACAAAAAGTATATTAAAACATAAAGAATTAATCCCTCCTATAAAACTAAACAATAACCAACTAGCAATATCCGACATCGACAGATCTAACTCATTTGCAGAATACTTCTATGAAGTATTCAAACCCAGTAACATAAACCCCCCTGTCAACCATAAAAACAAAATCAACGAGTCATTAGACAGTCCCTTACCCATGACACTTCCCCCCAAACATTTTTCTCCAAATGAAGTCAAATACACAATTGGCAAATTAAAGAACGGCTAAGCTCCAGGTTACGACCTTATAACAAATAATATCTTAAAACAACTAACCAACAAATCTATTCTTAATACAGTCCATATCTTCAATGCCATGCTCAGACTTTCTCACTTCCCCTCACTTTGGAAACTATCGACAATCATAGTAGTGCCGAAACCAGGTAAACCAAAAAATGTAACATCTTCTTACCGTCCGATCAGCCTCCTCCCTACCTTAGGAAAATTATTCGAAAAACTTCAATTAAAACGCCTTCAAAATATTTCTACAATAAACAATATCATCTCCCACTCTCAATTCGGTTTCTGAGCAAATCACTCTACAATCCACCCTCTCCACCGCCTCAACGATGCCATCTGTTCATCTCTTGAACAAAAAAAATACTGTTCAGGTATCTTTTTAGACATCGCCCAAGCTTTTGATAAGGTATGCCACGAAGGGTTACTCCACAAGCTAAAATCAAACTTCCCAACACCATACTACTTAATATTGAAATCTTACCTAGACCAACGTTCTTTCCAAGTAAATATAAACAATACATTCTCTAGTCATTTCAAGATAAACGCCAGAGTTCCCCAAGGCAGTGACTTATCCCCCTCCTTTACTTAATCTACACAGCTGATATACGTACATCTACCTTCACTAATTTAAATACTTTTGCCGACGATACAAGTATACAAGCATCTGACGCTGATCCCTTAATTAAAAATTTTAAACTCCAACACCACCTCAATCTTCTTGAAAAATGGTTTACTAAATAGAAAATAAAAGTTAATATAAGCAAATCAAATTACATCACCTTTTCTCTTCGGCCAGACAACTGTCCACCAGTCAAACTCTACAACACTCTACTCCCACAAACTAACCAAGTAAAATACTTAGGCCTCATTTTTGACAAACGCCTAACTTGAAAAGATCATTTAACTGAAAAAAGAAAACAATTAAACACCAGACTTCATCTACTTCACCCTCTCTTACGTTCCAAACTTAATCTTAAACTCAAAACACTCATCCACTATGGTATTACGGTATCCAAATCTGGGGCTGTGCCGCTCCATCTAACATCCAAAAAATCCAATCGTTTCAATCCATTTGCCTAAGCACACTCACAAATTCCCCTTGGTATGTTTCTAATAAAACTCTTCATTCGATCTCCAAATCAGTTATGTAAACAATATCGCCAAAACTGCCTACCAAAAACTTCATAATAAATTCATCTCTCACCCTAACCCTAATATACGCTACCTCTATTCTAATCATATCCCCGATAACCCGCCAAGAAGATTAAAAAGGAAATGATGTAGAGACCTCCTATAAATTATAAAATTAAAAAAAATTAAAAATAAATATTAGATAAACTAACTCAAAATTCCAAATAGGTAGCTCCATTGGGTGCCCCCCTACTGCATGTTATTCAAGCTATATTATTAATTTTCTTTTTTTACTGTTTACCCATTTACTGTTGTGCATATATTTTGTATAGATGTAAATATAAGGTAATAAAGTAAAAAAAAAAAAACTAGATTACTAACTGACGATAAGAATTGAAGCCGACGGTCCGCCGTTCTGGTGGGATTTATGTGTGTTATCAATGCATAAAATATATATCTGTATACATTATTATATCAATATTATAAATATATGTGATTGTTATACACAAATATTATTCTCGCGTGTTAAAGTTCTAATTCCCACCCAGATGGCGGAAAGTAGCTGCTTCAATCTTCTCTATTGGTGGCACGTACAGTTAGCAATCTAGTTTATCATATACATCTATGCCTATATATTATCTCTAATCTCTTATCTCTAAGTGACAGTGTAGCGCGTGTACTTATGTTATCTTTTTTTATATATTAGCATTTCAGTCTAATATGTTTTTTAACCATTTACAAATTGGTATTCTTTTAATATTAGAATGTAACTTTTTAATCATATAAGCTTTGTAGTGCTACTGAGGAAATGATGGCTTATCAACAGTGTATTTATGATGTTGATTTTTGTGCCTGTATTCACGATAACTTTTTTTCGAAAATACACTGATTTGTTTAACACCAACGAGCTTTTCTGTTGACCTGAAATCGTAAGCAATGTGT